GTGTGTGTGTGTGTGTGTGTGTGTGTGTGTGTGTGTGTGTGTATCTCCACTGTAAAGACATTTAAAATAATATGTCTAAGAAGGGGGGAAGCAAAACAAGCAAAAAGCCCTAAGAGTAGAGGCATGGTACAAAGACTGTTTCCTTATTTTTTTCAAGTGTGTTATCAACAAAAAAGAATTTTACCTTTGAGCCCAAATGTCAGCCTGTGAGGTGGAGCCACTATTCCTGGGAGCTGGTAAACCTTTTCTTAATCTGTTTCTGTTACTCCTAAATAAAGATGAAGGCTGTTTGCTATCCTATTGATGATGTCAAACAATGGGATTTTTTCTTTTTATTTTTAACTTTTTTTCTCTTCATAGTGGTGTGCTTGATAATTCAGGAGGGAAGATCCTTGTTCGGAAGGTTGCTGGACTATCTGGCTACAGAGGGAGTTATTTCAATGGTGTCCAATCATTGTCTCTTCCACGATGGAGAGAGTCCTTCATCATCTCAGGTATCCCCCGAATGCTTGGGAAAAGTGCTCAGCATGATTTGGGTCAAGTGGCCTCAAAGGGCTATGTGTGTTCTTTTCAAAGAGTGGATAGTTTTTCTTTATTTCAGTGTATAAAAATTGAAAGCTTTAGTTCTTCTGATAGTTAGGGTTAAATGGAATAATGATTATTGAAACTAAATAGACACAAAATCAAATTTGAAACTAGCAAAAGGCTCAAATCACTAATTTAAAATGTCCTGCAGTTATTAGCTCAAGTAAACTTTAAATAAGTAAATTGTGCTTAATAATCTGGGTTGTTAGGCCAAATACATGTTATATCTATAACTTAATTCTCTGAGATTTCTGGTAAATGAATACATAGGAACAAAGGCTCTTTGAGAACTAAGCTCTAAAATAAAATTAGATTTTTAATTCACTTAATTTTGTTTTACTGTTTAGTAATTTTACCCTATAGAATACCATAGGTATTTTATGTATAATAATCATTTTTTTTCTTCCACCAAAGAGATCATGTCAATGAGCTAATGACTAGTGTAATTTTACTGTGAGAAGGTAACAGGTATCTTTGTTTTTTCAGGATTCACTGTTCCTCATTAATCTATTTTTTTTTTAATTTCTTAAATCAACATGTTATTTTGAAAATTCTTAAATTCATAGAAAAGTTAAAATACTAATACAATGAATAACCATATTTTCTTAACCTAGATTCATCAATTGTTAACGTATATCTACATGTATATTATTTATATCCTTGTATTTTGTCCCTAGCCATTGGGGAATAAACTGCAGACATCTAGACACTTTGACATTCAAAATGTTTTATCACACATCTTATAAGAAAACCTTCCTAAATAATCACTGTACAATCATAGAATGACACCAGGAATAGAAAGCACTAATACAGTAATATTATTTAATATACAGTCCTGATTCAATTGTATTGAATTATCTCTTGAATACTCTTTCTAGAAATTTAGGGGCAGAGGATCAAAAATGTAATCAAACAGCATAGATTGTATTTAGTTGTTATGTTTTCTTAGTGATTTGTGAAACATTAATGTAGACTGTCCCCAGTGACCACTTCCTATTTTAAATATTAATGGCATTGACAATTGTAAGAATCCAGGCCAGTTGTTTAACACTTTTCCCAAAGAACAGACTTGGTCCAACTATTTCCATGTGATTGGGTTCCAGTTAAACAGTTTAGCAAGGATATTATGTGGCTAGCATTATAATAGTATATTTACTCTGTCAGATCACGATAGCTACATTAGGAAATGCATTATGTCCATTTGCTCAACAGTTGTGTTGATTTATTTGCTTACTTGGATACCCTACATTAGTGGAGTCAGTTCTGACTTATAGCAATCCCTAAGACAGAGGAAACTGTCCATGACATTTTGGAGGCTCCCTCAGATTGGCTGGTGAACTTGAACCACTGACCTTTCAATTAGCAGTCCAACCCTTAACCCACCACACCACCTGCTGTTTTGCTTGGGTGTTTTACCTTATCTCTCCATGGGAAATTACTCAACAGCAACATAACATATGTAAGCTGAACCACTGAAAATTGGTATGTCCACATAACTTTTTTAGTATAACACAATATTTCACATTATACCTACCTCACTCTCAACCTTGAATTTTCTTTTTCTCCAAAGGGATTCTATGGGATTTTTAACCTTGATTCCACTACCCTGTCTGGTATCCCAGCAACACATGTTATGTTTAAGACTAACCTAGAAAGGAGGGAGAGAAATGTCCTAGAATAGAACAGGTCTTCCAATCTGGGTGGTCTTCAGGCACATGCTCCAGCATGCATCCCATTCCCAAATGTCATGGATGGGTCAGAATCCCAATGGGACTACAAGTGGATATTTTAGGATTATTCTCAATTTAAGCAATCCTTTTTCGCTCTTGCCTGCCGAAATCTATACTCGCAGGGTTCAACTTAGACTTGTTTCTGGGCGAGGTAGTGAGAGGACATCAACCACAGCACCATGGAACGTGGTCATACACAAACACTAATGTCCAGAGTACAAATCTGCTGAACACCGAGAGAAGTAGAATCCCCACACAGGTGTTTACCACGTAACTCTTAATGAAATAAGAGTGTTTCACTCTCAAGTGCTTTGCCTGCAACCCAGGAATCCTAATTGTTGTTGTTAAGTGTTGTCGAGTCGTAGACGACTCATAGCGACCCTATGAAAGAAAGACCTGAACATGTGTATAACTTTCTTCATTTCTCCAAGGTCATAGGATTTCTGGAGGCAAGCTATTACAGAAGTAGATGCTACCCCTGCTTCCAAGATTGTTTTAATCAGGGAGCTCGACCAAACAATGACCAGCATGGGTAGCCATTATCACATTTGACACATCAGTGTCACAGTGTTCAGCATCACAGCAACCACGGGTTACCTCTGGACAGCAAATGAACAGACCAGTGCTATACCACTCAGAAGAATATTTGACCAAAAACAATTAAAATCAGGCTGGAGGGCCTCAGATTAAAATCAACCACTTTTGTCTTGGTAGCATCACTTTCTATCCACTAGGCCAACAGAGCTCTCTCTATGTAATAGAAGTTTAAAATAAAATTTAATTTTATTTTATTGATGGTTGAGTTCTGGCGGCCAAGAGGTAAGAAGTTGCATTGCAACCCAAAGTTCAAATCTACTAGCTGTTCCTCAGGAGAAGGATGGGCAGTCTCCTTCTATGCGATTTACTGCCTCAGAAAACTCACTGGAGGGTCAACAATGAGTCTGTTCTGACTTGATGTCAAAGAACAAAAACGTAGAGAGAGAGTTTTAAATGAAAACCAATCTTCTGAGACTATTCCCTGTAATCTCAATTTCCATCTCCCCACATTCCACTCATTGGCATTTAACGGAAAATATTTTTGCTGGTGATGATAAACATTGTGCTTCAGGAACAGCTGAGTTGGGGAAAGGGCAGTGGGCATAAGGATATTGCCAGCTTCCAAAGACCACTGCCCATTATTAAGAGGCTGATCACCAACACATTTAACTAATTGCATCCAAATCCTTCTCTGAAGGCTCAGACACTCCCAGGACCTTCTCCAGATTTTTATTCCCAATTTTTATGTGTCACTCTGCTCCTTCAGTAAATGACCCTGGTAGACTGGAGGGGGACATGAGTAAGACAGTGCATCTTTGATCTGAATGCCCACCCACCCCACCCCCACCCCCCGCTTGAGGAATGGGAGAGGTCAGTGAGAGACTTTCTGTCACCACCCTGGATTCTTTGATCCACATTTCAGAAGGTGCTCAATTCTTATTCATCCTGAATAGAAACAGAAAGGACCATAGGATTTCAGACATGAGAGGAATAATAAGCACGGAAAAGTTATGATGTGGTATCACTCTCTGGTCATGAAGTGAAGCCTCCAGCCTCAGGGACCTCACTGGTTCTGAAACACTTTCTAGGGTGACAAGCTAGGATCTAATCCAAGAACCAAGGTGCCTTCCCCCCCATGCAGATCCCTAGTTGTCCCTAGGGGGTAGCAGTCAATCACTTTACCTAAAAGCTGGAGGTTTCCAGGGGGTGAAGTTGGAGTCAACTAAAATCACCATGGAATCAGTTCCCCAGGCAATTTAAATAAGATGAAATAAATTGAGTAAGCCCACACATTTTCCTCATTCCAGCTTTGAATGGTCTTTACAGGTAAGACCAGAAGACTAACCCCCTCACCTGTGGTGGTAGTGGCTTAGTGGTGAGGAGTTGGGCTGCCAACTCAAAGACAGTTAAGGCTGGAATCCACCAATAAGTTCATAGGGTAAAGATGATCAGTCTGCTCTCATGTCGTTTCCTAACTCTGAGAACCCAGTGGAGACTCCGCTATGAGTCAGTTACAACTCCACAACAAATGTGGTCATGCATTCTGAAACGTTTTAACCACCCTCACCCTCACTCAAAGAAACTCAATGCAGATTAAGTGGGTTCTGACCCCGAGTAACCCTTCGCCAAGTTTTCAAGGCTGTACATTCCAAGGGGAGGAGACTGTTCTTCTTTGTTATGTGTTGTGTCACCACATCAGCCGTGATTCATAGCAATCGTGTGAACAACCCATCTGGACCTTGCCCTGTCCTACCTATGTCATCCTCACAATCTCTGCCTTGCTCATATCCATTGTTGCAGTTAAAACATCAATCTATGTCCTTGAGGGACTTCCTCTCTTTGACCCTCCACCTTCCCCGCATGTTGCCTTTCCCCAAACACCTTGCCTTCCTGACAATATACCACATTCTGTAAGATGAAATTTCACCCACCTTGCCTCTGAGGAGCACCTGATAACTTTTCGGTTTTCCTCAATGCTGTGATTATTTCCGCCATGCTCCTCCTTACCAGTTTCTCTCCCTGGCTGAGAAACAAATGATTTGGTACCTGAGTAACAAATGATTATTTCCAAGGCTGATCTTTCTACTCTCGGATTTTTTTTCCGGTTTCATAGGATTCCAACAGGCTTCCCACAATTTCAGTGTAAACGACTAACTGATGGTAACTGGGAGAATACACGTGCCATAAGAGAACAGAATGAGGTGTTAGAGGTTAATCTGCAGACTGAATTAAACATTCACAGCCACATATATGAACTAGCTGGCATATCTTCTTCATGAGCAAAATAAAACTATAATGAACTCTGAATTATGGATATTTTATTGCTTCCAGTCTAATCTTAATAAAATTCAGGCAACACAGGAAGGTAAAATACCACTTTGACTTTATCATAATAAAAAATTCAGCATAAGGGAGATAAGACTATACTGAAGTTGGAAGAGGAAGGGAGGGAATCTATTTTTCAGTACAGAACCATCGAAACCCTCTCACAGTGGGAATAAACCCTTTTCCCCCCCTTTCTTTCTTTCCTCTTTTCTGCAGGTGGTAAACCCAAAAAAGGTGTAACCTACCCATCGACTCTCATATATTCATCGTCAAAAAGCCCAGCTGCCAAAACAGGCAAGTGTCTGTGCATGATTTCATCTAAAGCCTCTTAGTTTGTAAACACGCAATATGGTGTTTTAGAAGATAGTGTAGAAATTATCATCTTCAGAGGTCAAGCTCCACCGACTCCAGTAATATTTTAACGGATGCCAGGAGCATCCAAACACAGAAATCAATGGCACCAAATAGCTACAGCTGGACAATGAATGCTTTGCTTTTTCTTGGGTTTCTTTTTCTTGTTCGCTGTTCTGAGATTGTCTTTCTTTTTTTTTGCTATTTTTGTTCAGAACGGCCATTACTGTAGAATATAGCATGACATTCTCTCTGGAAGAGAAAAGGACTGGCAACAGGATGGGAAAGGGCAATATCTACATGGGTATGAAATAAAAAGAAGCAAAGAGAATGGTGTGGTTTATATGATAACGGCATTCCCTCCATAAATAGCAGCTAAACCAAGTAACCCAGGCCAAATCCCACAGTCTGTGGGTTGGTAGGGCCGCCTCAGCTTCCGTGTGAATCGTAAAAAGGGGGTCCAAGCAGACCTCAGGCAAGGAAAATGCCCTCTTGTAGATTTCTGTGCTGAACGGAGAACTGTGCCAGGCAAAACTGTGACTGTGGGATGGTATGATTTCCTGCACCGTCAGAGAGAACTCGGGCTTGCATTCTAATGGGATCTTGCACGGCTTCCAGAAACTGGATGGGCTAACTGATTTTTGTTTTCATGTTCTTCAGATTCTATTCATGTAGTTAAAGTGAGCATGGTTTAAGGATAGCAATAGAAATAGCATCTAATGAGCACTCCTGTACGGCAGGTATTGTTCCAGGAGTTTTACATCATTATCATGCTTGAGTGCCATAAGCATGTCAACACCATATTGTTTTTGTTGGGTACCATTGAGTCAAGTACAACTCATAGCAACCCTGTGAACAGACCTGAACCCTATCCTATCCTATCATTTGCTATTCTCACAATCCCTGACACACTTGAGCCCTTGCTGCTGTCACTGTGTCAATCCACCTGGTTAAGGGTCTTCCTCTCTTTTGCCATCCCTTAACCTTCCCAAGTATGATGTCCTACTCCAATGAATAGCCTCTCTTAGCAACATTCCCAAAGAATGTGAGATGAAACTTTGTCATCTTTGCCTCCCTCCAAGGAGCACTCTGACTGCACTTTCTCCAAGATGTATCTATTTGTTCTTTTGGAAGTCCATGGCATATTCAGTACTCTTCACCATCATCACAGCCCAAAGACATCATTCTGGTTCTGTCATCATTATTCACTGTCCATCTCTCAGCAGCATAGCAAGTGACTGAGAAGACCATGCCATGGCCTGAATAAGGCATATTTTAGTCCTCAAACTAGCATCATTGTTCCTCAATAATTTGGAGAGGTCCCTGACTGCAGGCATTGCCAGTGCAATACGTCTCGTGATATCCTCACTGCTGGTACCAGTTGTTTTTCATTGTGGATCGAAGTAAGATGAAGTCATTGACAGTTTCAACCATCTATTCAGCTATCATGATGTTGCCTATCAGTATAGTGGTGAAAATTTTTGTTTTCTTAATATTGAGATGCAATCCTTATTGAAAGCTGTAGTCTTTGATCTTGTGCAACAAACGCTTCAAGTCCTCTTCACTTTTAGCAAGCAAGGTTTTGTCATCTGCAGACTGAAGGGTTTTCTTTTATTAACTTTAATGAAAGTTTACAGAGACTTTGGATTTCCAATCATTCATTGTTATACTTTTCTCCAGAATGAAGGTTATTGATGAGTCTTTCTCCAGTCCTGGTGCCACATTCATCTTCATAGAACCCAGCTTTTCAAAGAATTTACTCGGCATACAGATTGAATAGATATGGAGAAAGAATACAGCCCTGACACACACATTTTCTAACTTTAAAGCATTAGCTACTCCTTTGTCCTGTTAGCACAACAGTCTCTTGGTCTAAGGTATAGGTTTCCTATGAGTACAAGTGCTCTGGGACTCCCATTCTTCTCAATGCTAGTCATAATTTGTAATGATCCACACAGTCAAATACCTCTGCATAGTCAATAAAGCACAAATAGAGATTCTTCTGGTATTCTTTACTTTCAGCCAGGATACATCTGACAATGATACCCTTGGTCCCACAGCCTCTTCTAAATCCAGCTTGAACTTCTGGCAGTTCTCTATGTCTTTTTCTAATTTTAGTAGAATAGGTACTTGTTCTAATAGTACTAGCTAAGTACTATTCTTATCCTAACTTTGAGTTCAAGGAAAATCCAGCACAGAGAGGTTAAGAAACTTAGTATTTGCCACATAGCTAGTAAGTAGCAGAACTGGGACTCATAGCATTCTCTCTCTGGAAACACTGGCCATGTGAAAACATCTTGTTCTCCAGCAGTCATTGACCCAATGATTTTATCACAGTTGATCATCTTTGCCTGCACAAGTGGTCTCTTCAAAGGTTTCTGAGTTGACAAACGGCATAGTGTCTTCAACAAGTTGATTATGTGAAAAAAGGGGAGGGGAGGAGGGTAAAACATCCAGGCACTGCTCTACGAGAGCTGCAGGAGAAAATACCACACGCAAAGTGCAGGCTTTGTTTGAATTCTGACACCAAGACAGTTGGGAGCTAAATAGATTTGGTATCATCAAGGAAATACAAACACAGACTGGCTAGTAAATGATGTCAGCAAATTAGCATTAACTTTTTAAAGTAATGACAGTATCAGGTTAAGTAATAAAAATGAACATTTTTTAAAGATATACAAAATGAATATGCAAGGAGGAGATGGGGGAAGGGAAGGGAAGGGAAGG